GTGAAATGTCAGGTTTATGTTTAGTAGCCTTACAGAGGAAAACTTTCCTCGTTCTCGTACTCCTTAGGGGTTTGGTACCACCATAAAAATTGGGTTTCAGTAGGAAAGTTGCGTATGCTGTATTGGATTTTTTCCTTGTAGAAAATGTTTCTGCTTTTTTCTCATACTTCTCGTGTGCATCATGTCCTCGGCGTTTATGGTTTAAAAGGTTGGGTAGAAGTTTAGGTACATCTTGAGCCATCTGCATAGCCCTGTGTAACTTCGTACATTTTTATGATATACTCCTGAGACAGAAGATTTTTCTTTTAAAAGCGTGGAAATACATGGAATTGCCACTAGATTTTATAGGTACATGTATTTAGACTTTAAGGGGTAGAATTGCTCACACCCCTGAATTGTTGAGCATGATTCCACACTTGGATTCTGAGTTCACAAAATACCTATTTCTGCCTCTTGGACCATGTAAGTACAGTGTTGACGGGCACTTCCAAGTACCAGTTGACTCAAATGTGCTCCCTTCCAAAATGTTGCTGAGCCACATCACCGCTGTGCCTAGATGTGTGTCGTACCAGCTCTGCAGAGGACATCTCTTAAATGAAAGTTGAAACCAGTCTTCTGCTGATCTCTTTTTAAAGACCAAGTGATACTTACCTAAATATACAATTGATTATCTTTGATTTATTAAGGAAAAAACCCAACAGTTTGGGTAATTATATCTCTAGCCTTATAGAATTTCCCCCTGAGTTTTTATTTGATACGTATTATTTGCTTTATCTTACACATGCTACTGTGTGTAACAAATGTGTTGCATCAAATACAATATACCATATCCAGAATTTTAACACAAGTCCTGTTTGGTTTACAGGGTTTTCAGTGAATGCCTCATCAGAGCGGCTCAATATGGGAGAAATAGAGACTTTGGAAGACTACTGAGCATGTGCAAATCAACTGGCTTTTCCTGCATCTGTTAACCATGGATTCTCCGTTTTGGACACAGTACTCTCCACCATGCGTTCTTCTTCGCCTCGCAGTGAATCACAGAATCGGTCATCTCAGGCTGCTTCCTCTAGCCCCAGCAAACCCTTTCTGCCCAGGACTGCACAGGCGTTGTTCGTACTGTCAGCCTAGAGTTGAGTGGACTTTGTTCAGAGTCCTGGGAGGGTGGGAGATACGATTCGTTCACAACAAGGCTGATTTGGGCAGCAAACTTTCACTGTGCTGTGGTTTCTTCTGCTGACATACCTGGGGGAAAAAAAAAAATCAATTGGGATTCCACAAACCATTGTTTCCCTCTTCTGGTTACTCTTACCACATCCAACATGTGCAGTCACGGAGAGAGAATGAGTTTGTGGTTAACAGATGTTGGTCAAAACCAAAATGCCACACAGATACTGACTTCCGCGCTCCATCAGGGCAAGAGGTGCTCTCCCAAGCGAGGAGTTGCATTCATAAGCTAACCTTAGAACTGGCAACAGCAGGAGAGGGGTGGTGGCGGGCGCAGTTTAGCTTGGGTTGGTTTGAAGTTGCACACCCCCTGCCAGCCCTTCTCAGCACATTATTTTTGGAGGGAAAGCTCGAGTCTGTCTTCATTAGGTGGTGATGCTGAAGCTGGTGGAGTTCCCTGTCGGCGTACTCCAGCCTTCCCGGACAAGTGGGGACTTCTACTCTGGGGGAAAAAGAGGGGTGGCATCTCTTCTTTCAGGTTGAATTTATCCCTTAAATGCTACCTTTGGAGGGTTAGCACCAGTTTATTTTGAGCTCTTTTCCTGCAAATTTGTCTCGTTTAAGAGACAGTAGGATCTTTACTGTGTGGATCTTTAGTCTTTGGTGAGGGTGAACACTGGCTTTCAGATATATACCCCAGCAGTCTTAGCTAGTTGTCATTTCAAGCAGCGCTTAGGTTAATGAGCAGAGATGCCCTTTTGTCATGAAGAGAGACTGTGGAGGGCGAAGCTATGTGCAATGACGGCCCTGCTTATCTTCTACACCTTAAACTATTTCACGCACCTTCACTGGGATCCATAGTCTTTAAGTATTTATGGAATCATAACCTTCCTCTCTCACCGAAAGATTTAACACCACCTTCCCTTCTCCACCCACCCACCCCCATGCACACACCACAAAAGAAGAAAAACAAAAACTGCCAAATGCACTTAGTTTCAACCCCCTGGTCCCATCTCCCATTCCCAGAGGATCATAACCTGCAAAGGGAGATAACGCTACAGTTTTGGTGGAGTTGTGTAAAGGTGTCTGTTCTGTCATCACTGCCTAAAGAAAACAGTTCGAGTTGCTCAAGAGCAGTTTGGCTTTGGATTTTATTTTGTTTGGTTTATTCATTTTTTTGGGGTCACCTTCCCCTCCTCCTCTCTCTTCCCCCTGCCCCCAAACATGTACAGTAACTATACAGAGACTGCTGCAGACTTGTATATAGTTTTTGATCCAATAGCATGGAGAGACTTGGAACTGTTGCAAATCTGGTCTCCCTGTCTCCTTTGCTTTGTAAATTCATAAAAGGGGGAAGAGGGGTAGTTAAAATGTTTACAAAACTTTAAACTCCCTCTGAACTTTTGCCAGTGTGGGGGGGAAAGAGAGAACTTAAATAAAACCTGGTTGTATTATATCTGAGAGAAAACTTTCTGCTTGCTTTTGTCAAAGCTGAGTTTTGAGATAGTTCCTGGTGCTAAAACTGACCCAAAACTCGACTCGCATCACTTTTCATCAAGAAACAACAAGCAAATACACAGGATGTGGAACAACAACTGCTGCTTTATTTCTTCCCTGGTGAGGAATGCTGGTGGGTTTTTTTAACTTGATAATTTTAGAGTTCGAATAAACACCCAGTAAGTTGAGATTGGAAAATTCTGACAAGAAAGCTTTAATTTCCCCTCTGTACAGAAACACGTGCACTCATGCTCGTGTTGTTTATGCAGAGGAGATCAAGCTATGGCAGGTTTTCTTTTAATACGAACGTTCCGCCATGGAGCCTTTTTTTGCCAGTTGGTAACCTCTCTATCGACTCCGATTCCCTTCCCTAAATGAGAGGTTTTATTTCTCCCCTCAGTGTAAAGTCCATGCTGACACCTTGTACGCTTCCCTTTTTTAGACAAAATCTTACTTTCCTTTTTTCTACTTGCTGCTTGGTTTTGTGTGGAAAATCCTGGTAAAAGTTAATGATAAATGTCCTTCTACCATTCACATGACCACAAAGAATATGAAGTCAGTATGCTAAGACCTAACTTACACAGTAGCTTTGCATTATATTTAGCTGATGTCTCGGAGAGAACAGTGCGTGTTTAGGCTGGTAATTTGACTTTTTGTTTTAATATCATAATTAGTTTTTAGTGTATAAGGTGTCTGGTTCATAAGTACTTTCTGGTTTTTAGTGGTATGATCTAATTTCGCTAATTTTGGACTACTCTATACTGTGTAACAAATAAGCAAAAGCCTATTAATTTCCAGCTCAGCTGGGGAGCAGGAAAGGAACAATGTGTCAACTGCTAAATGAAAATGCAAAAATGCAAGCAGGGAGAATGCGCAATAATTTGTCGAACCCCGAGGACCTTGCTCGGCTTCTGAGTTTGTAGGTAATGGACCAGTGGGGAATATCTTGTTCTTAATGTCTTAATGTTCTGGCTTCTGTATTTAGTACGAAGGTAGGATGCTGGCATGTTCCGACTGTATGCTTGCGTGACTGCCCTGTCACCTTCTGTGACCAACAGGGCCTGTTCCTTTAGCGAAGGTCATTTGAATCAGTAGGGATGGGAAATATAGGAGCTACAGCTTTGTATCTGCTGGTGGGTCTATATATTTATGCTCCTTTTCAGACAGAATGTGATCCTGGAAAGCTGATGAGGCTTTGATCCAAGTTTGACAGATGACGTTGAATTTCGTGCTAGAGATGGCTGAGGTTTCTTCTGAGCATGTTTCACCAAGTTACTTCCTAACTTCTCACTTTTCTGCAGGGGCAGCACTCAGTCCTCTGTTTTTTCTGCTTCCCCTTGCAGCCAGGCACTTCTGCAAAGAACTGGAGCAAGCAGAATGATTTAAAAGGACACCTGAACTGTATCTGGCTGCCTGGCAGAGAAAGCCAAAAAGCAAAGAGATCTCTTAGCAGAAAAATCTGAATCTGAAATTTAAGACAAAACTATTGTGTTGTATTTTCAGAGCACAAAGAGCTGACATTGGTGGTGTTAATGTACTTTATTACATCTTTTTCTGAACGGAAACCATGAAGTATTTCACCCTCATATCAACTTAAAAAAGCCATAATGACATTCTTCTGTCTTCTAACAATAAGCTGGAGTGTTCCCCTTTTTATACACTTCAGCCTTTCCTGAGTCTGTCTCGGTGCAAACGTGATCTGAAACAAACCTCAGTTTTCTCTGCCGTGAACTTTTCACAAGCCCGCTTAGAGGGGAGGGACAGAGTGGCAGAGGGTTGCAGGAGGAGGTCCTGTCTGTGCAGTTCAGATCCGAGGAGGATGCTGGCCTCGCCTGACAAAGATGGCTCTCCTGGAAGACTTAACTGGATTTTAACAGGCAGTTCTGTCAGCAGAGACCACACACGGCTCCTAGTCCACCTCTGTAAGTATTACACCCAGAAAACAAGGATGCCACGGAGCCGCTCTGGCTCTGTTTCAGAGCATTTTAGCCTCGAAAGATTGAGGCCTTTGTTCTTTCGCTGTGCCCACCCTGGAAAGACCACTGCCACCCTGCACACCGAGGAGAGAGCAAAGCCCTTGAGCGGTCTGCTTGGTTTCAGGGTTAGCTGCCCCAATGGCTCCTGTGTTATTTCCCGTGCCGCGGGATGGCCGGCCGGAGGGAAGGCATTCCAGGGGCATCCCCGTGTCCTCTGGGAAGGGCTCGCCAACAACCACTCGTGTGTGTGCTGGCCTGGCAGGGTGACGGATGCCTAACGGCTCAGCTGCCTATGGGGTTTTAGGCACAAATTTTGGAGGGTGGAGCTGCCTTCAGGAGGAGGTGTGCTCTACAAGTCAGAGAGAGTGTGTCTCTGCTGGGCTTTGCACTCTCTCTATCCGCTTGCTGTTGCGAAGGAAATTTTTTTTTTTACCTGACTGGACAAAAATTTTTATTATACCAGTGAAATTTCCAAGTCGTTTCGTACTTTGAAGAGTTTTAAGAACTCCTGCCGATGCTTTACCTGAGGGAAACCATGCCCTACCGCAGAGTCCTTCGCCTGGTCCTGCTAACGCTGTGCGGTGTCCTGGTCCCTGCTGTGCTGGCAGGTAAGGAGCTTTGTTTGCATTTAAAGCCCAAAAGCATGGGAGATCTTTTTACTAATCTACCTCTCCTCTCCTTGCATACCTCCTCTCCCTCCCCTAAAAAAGTCCGTAAGTATTTATTGAATTATAATTGATTAATGGAAACTGACTTTGGAATTGGTGACTGGTGGTGAGTAAGAATATATTCTCCATCCCGAGACCAAGTTTCTGTTGGGCGAAAATGGAGAAAATCCTTCGTAATGTTTCCTAAGCAGAACAGCAGTAGCACCTATGTGAGCGTTAGTGGCAGTAGCTCAGTAGACACGTCAGTCAACAGTAGATGGAGTGTTCTCAGCAGCTGATGGGACAAGCTATCGGTCAGCTTTTAATGGCAGGAAGAAGTTACAATCGTGAAATTTTTCTCTGGCTAAAGCATGTGTGCCAACTTCTGGTTTCGTCTGTGCTTTCCGCTACAGCAGAGCACTTCACAAAAGCTGCTGTAAGTAGAAACAGGCAGGTGTCTATGAAAACGTTTGGCTGAGGTGTGCACCTAAAGGGAGTTTGTCTAGAGCTGGGTGCACCGAGGCAGGCGGCAGCGCTGGGAAGGTACGTGGCTCTGATTCAAGTTCAGCGAGGTGATGGGAATAGGAATAGGCGAGACCCCTGTTCTGTGAGACGCTGGTTTTTAAAGGAGATGATTAGAAACATCAGCCTTATCTGCTCCTGCCTTTAGCACAGCTATGCTGGCTGCTCTGAGGTGCAATTTTTACAAGTGAGGGAAAACTGGCTTCCAAGCCGACTCCATGGATCGGCTTTGAGCATACGGGTGGAAACTCCTCTGGGGAGCTGCATCCCATAAAGCCTCTTTCTTTAAGTGGAGGCGAGGCTGAAGGGATGGCTCAGGCCAAGATAATAGGCAAAAGCACAGCGCTTGTTTTCCTGAATTCCTGTCCTGCTTTCCAAGACGTGGAGCAAGGCTGGATTGCAGTTCCCTCCCAGTTTGCTCTGAGCATCTTGCCTCACAGGGAGATCCTGGCTAGCCATCTAGCAGATGAAATAATTTCTTTTTAAAGGAGCTTTCATATGAGTAGGGGAATTTATCGCTGCACCTAGCTGGAACATCTGTGAGTGCAAGAACAGAATTGCTGGAGCTGGTATTTCCCCCACAGATCGTCTCCTTGTGGGATACCTTCTTGCTGGGAAGCCTTTAAATTAACTAAGAAATGAGCACTAAAAAGTCAATGTTTTCCTTCTTAAACCCTGAACTTTGATTTTTGTATAGTGGAACACTAATCGCTTAAGCACAGTTTCAGTTTGTAGCTTGCCTCTGCTCCCAGAAGCAGTGGCAGTGCTCTTCCCCCAAACCAGGTAAGGTCTTTTCTTAACTGTTAACAGTATTTCACTCTGCAGAAAGTGATTCATTTCCAGTGAAAATTTAATCTGCTTCCTCTCTGAGCTAGGATTTCTTTTACACTATTTTAAGTTTCCACTCTTTGGTGCATATTTGCTCTGCCCCTTGCCTTGCTTTCCTGTGTACTTGCTCTCAGCTCAGCATTGCGGCTACAGTTGTACCTGTTGCTGCCTCCCTGTGTCATCAATACTCCCAAGTTCGCTTGATTCCTTTACTGGGTGAGTTGCGCTTGTGTGACGAGGCCGGTAGCTCTTGAAGAGCTTTGTACTGATGAATGCAACATTCGGATCCTGGGGTGTAGGAGAGACTCCATGCTTTCTCTATGGTGTTTTAGAGGCTTGAGGCCTCTAAGAAGTGTGGTGCTCTCTGCTACCTCCAAGCAGGATGTGAAAGGACCAGCCTGTATGGTAAGGCATCCCAGGAGCAGAACGATTTTCTGCTGCGTTAGGAGTGGAGAGTTACCTACCCCCAATACAGGGGCTTTTAGTGCACAGTGGAATTTTTTTTCTGCTTTTCACCCCGTTGGAAAAGGAAATTTCCTGCCTTGTGCAGACAAAGAAGGGAAGGGCACACAGACAGCCCTCTGGTCTCCGTGCATACACATGCAGCCCTGCCTTTCTGTAAACAAGTTTATTTAACATTCATCAGAACCGCAGCGCCCTGCGCCGCTCCACACTCGAGCTCCTGGCACTCGCACATCACAGGCTGCCCTTTGTGCTCCCTATGAAGGCTTCTTTTCATCCCTGCCCTGGCCCTGGGCCCTCTGTAGCCACCTGGGGCTGGACAGCCCGTTGCTGGCCTCGGAGTTCACCCAGCCTCTGCCCTCTCGTCTCAGCACCTCGTACTTTCCATAGCAAAGCCCTCCACAGTGAGCAGAAGCAGAGTCTGCCTTGGAGAGGGCTGCGACTGATGCCAGCCATGCAGACCTGAGGTCCAGAATGAGTCTGCCTTCTTCCTTGGATTTAATTTTATCACAGTGGGAACTTGGAGCTGCCTAGTACGAAAAGCCTGGGGTAAGTGCTTGGAAGTTCAGCGAGATGAGAAGGATCTTGCTGGCAGCCAAGGTTCCCATGTGGGTGGTGCAGTTGGAGCACTTCTGGGGTGCTGGTGGGTTGCGTACCTTGATCTGGCTTCTTGCCCAGCCAGCCTGGTTTCCTGGATGGCGTGGTCAGGGCTCTGCGACTGGGGAAGGCGTGAATTTCTCCTCTGAGTTACTGAGCTGTTTCCAATATCCCATTTGTCAAAGGTGGGGAGACAACCGACCGAGTTGTTAACCCTCTCTGTCCACATATCTAGGTGCAACAGGAAACAGAGCCAGTTCAAGGACTTTGCACACCCAAATCTTCTCTGCTCCTGCTTTCTCCGAACCCAAGTGGCACATAGGCCTAGAGCACAGAAGGATTGTGAAGAGCTGATTTTTATTTCTTTTCTATCAGCAAAACCAGTTTCAATTCACATAGTGGGTTCAGAGCTCCACGTGAGGTAGAAGCTAGTAAAAAGCCTTTGCAAGGCCTTGGCTTCTGAATCACCTATGTATTTCATACCTAAACTCTGATGTGGGCTCACGGATTTCCTTGTTTTGAGCTAATGTGGAAATACATTATACTGCAGTAGCGCATCAGAATGCGTATGGGGAAAAAAGCAGCAGAGCAGGAGGTGTTGCACTGAAGGAAAACGTACAGGAGAAGTCCTTGTCCAAGAACGTCCTCTTTCTGTAGCAACTCGTGTGTCTTCATCCTCAACAAGAGGAAAATAAAAGATTATTAGGAAGCTTTTAAAGTTCAAGTACTAGAATGTGAGAAGTAGTAAATAGGTTTTGTCAGCCAAATTACTTAAAAAGATGTGGTTGTTCCAACAGGTCTGTCCAGACTTAACAGCAAGCCTCTGTAGACCATTACTCAGCCTTGCTGTGCACCAAGACTCCTTATAAATGACTGACACTGGTATCGGCTGCTGACTACGATTACTGGGTTGGAGGGTGGAGAGTTGAGGATTATGAGGTGCTGAAACCAGCTTGTATGAGGAAGAGTATTGGTCACTGGTGAGCAATCTCCAGGGATGAAGATCTTAGGTGGCCACATCTGCCTGCCTTGAGGTCTTACAGTCTGCCTGTGGGGAGGTGCGGGTTGTTTGGGGGCATCTTGAAGGGTCCTTCAGATTTGATTGGCTTCCTCAAGAGCTATCACTTGGGGAGACTCTTCCAGGTTTATCTTTCAGCCACTGAGTATCTGGGGTACTGGCTACCAGGTCACCGTGCTGGCAGCTCACCCTACCTTCTTCGTACTGAGCATGGAAGTGGCGGTTTTGTGAAGTTGCCTTTGGTGTCTTCCCTTCTCAGTCTCACTGCAGCCCGTGTAGCTGAAGTCCTGCTGGGTGCCCGCATCATTTCGTGCGTCAGAAAATGCAATGCTGCATTTCTTTATAGTGTAGTAACTCTGATATTTTCTTCCCTTTTCCTGGCCTCAGTTGTAACTCACCTGTGCTGGAGAGAGGGAGAAGACAGAGTGCAGTATAGATATTTCCCTAAGATAAGGCAATTTGTAGTGTCAACATACGGGAAGGAAGAGGTGCCGTCCTCCACCTGGCCTGTTACAAAACACTGGAATACTTTTACTCCATTTTTTCCAGGTTCTATCTCTGCCCAGTAAAACCCCAATAACTAAGATTGTTCCATGTCTGTCTTTGAAGTGCTCTCAAATGATTATTTTTTACCAAGTGGATTTCACTGGTAGTCTGTGGAGCAGCTGGGGGAGAGCTTGTTTGTGCCGTGGGCTCATGGTTTCTCTCCCTTCAGAGCAGCCGGCACCGAGGCAGGAAGCCTCGGCAGCGGTGGGGTTACCCACGTGCATCGGCAGCCTGGTAGCCCCTCCGTGTGCCTGACTGCCGAGTTGCTCCGGGGCAAACAGACCATGCGAGTGCACCGGGTGAATTTTCCTAGAGGTAGGACTGGTCCTAAGTCTGATGCCAGCACAGCTAATGTGTGGCTCTTGCCCAGATGTTAAACATCTGGTCTTGTGATGGATGATGTATTTTGAGCTTGTTTCTTGGTAGTTCTTTATTTCTACAAAGTTCTTGGGTGAACAGGAAAACCGTGCGCTACCTTGCCTTTAATACTTGGTTTCCAACCCGTGATTGCACCCCCTCACTTGAGATTGCAATGCGTTTGGGTGTTTTACACAAAAAAACTGCTGTGCCCTGCCCCAAGAAGGCCATGGAGATGGGGTGTAACTTGCCCTTTCCCTCTGAAGGGCTGCCGCCGGGTCTGGAGCTGTCACTCGGAGGTGTGTGTTCAGGCACACAGACCGCGTCCTCCGCGTCGCAGTCAGGCTGACAGTAACCGTGCAGGCAGGCCCGTGCAGGTGGGCAGACCTGGCCACTCTGGTGCTTCTGCTCTTGTAGATCATATTTAGAGTCCTGGTCTCCTGCTCATGTGCAGAGGAACTGAGCCCAGGAGGGAAGAGGAACCTGCAGTGGTCACACAAAAAGTCAGCAGCACAGCAGAGAACTGAAGCTCCTGAATCTGGTCCCACGCCTGTACTTAGAGCCTGTCTGGTCAGACTGTACCCAGCAGGCGACTGGAGGAGGCCCTCATGTCTCACCTCGAGACGTGTGAGACCTTATTAATAGTGTGTGTGTTGGGTTTTGTCACCCAACACGAGCTCTGTCCTTCCCCCTCACCTTTCTTGCTTTTACCAGCGGACTGAGATGGAAGTGTGGCATTTAATGCTGCTCCGTTAGAGATCTGCTGCTCTCAGCCAGCAGCAGCGTGGCCGACGCTCACTGGGACTGTTGGGGTGCTGCGGAGGGGAGCAGGCGTGACTTCTCCAGTTGTTAAAGAAACCCGCTGGATGGGTGGGGATAGTTGGATGGACGGTTGGGCTTCTCAAATGGGCAGGAATGGAGGCATGTGAGGACACGAGCTGTTAGTTTAGGAGGGAAAAACCAAAGGGGAATCTTGGAAAGCAAAGTGCTGGTTACAAACAGGCGCTCTCCCAGGCTGTGGCAGTTTGCTCTGGAGAGACCTGCTTGCTGGCAGCTTTCTCTGGGGACCCTGCATGTGTTTGGTTTGGTGTTCCCCCCACCCCGTGTGCCTGCTGCAGGGCTCTCGGCATCTGCTCTAGCAGCGTTGAGGTGCAGGAACCGAAAAGGAGACCCAGCAGTAAGCCCTGGCTCTTGATGATGTTCAGATGCAGGTATTTCACTTTATGCCTGGGCGCGACTGCCGCTGCTTCCGCTGCTTCTGCTCTCCGTTAGCGAGGCACTAGACCCGACTGAATGGAGTTGTGTTTCCCCTGGTTGAAGCACCGTTAAGGTAAAACCACAAGATCTTGGGACAGAAAACGCATGTTTAGCACACGCTGCCCTTTCTGTGAGGGTGAACTGAAAGCATTTTTTAATCAGATGAGGGAGATTAAGAAAATACATATCCAGAAACCATCCAGGACTCTATCCAGGTCTTAAAAATCACTGAGCTCATAAACAAATTAGACCGTTTCCTCTTTACTTGGGTATCAAAAATAAGCTCTGTGCCCTGCTTAGAGAGCTGTAATAAATTTTTCAGGAATTTGATGCACTGGGGACAGGACAGACTTTCTGGGACCTGTGGGTCTGGTTAGAAAAAGAGCCTTTGCACTACAGTTGGGAGGGGTAGTGTTCCCTCCTCATCCCTTCGAGAACAGGGAGTTGGGAAGACCTTGTCCAGGCCCTACAGCCTCCCTGGATGGGGCCTGCATGTGTTCGAGATCGTCTGAGCTAACGCCTTTCCCCGGGTCAGATTCGAGGGGTACACCCAGCTCTTCTGGCTTTGGAGAGAAAAACATTCTTGGGAAGTGCAACAACGACGTCTTCCCAGTGTGGTGGTCTCTTGCCAGATGGGAACGGCTGCAGTGTTGGTGCTGGCCCTGGTGGTGTTGACACAGTCCGGAAGGTTGTAGCTGGAGTGTAACTCTTCTGTGTGGAGTTTCTGCGCTTGCGAAAGCAGCTTGGAACCGGGGCTTCAAAAGCATTACGTACGTTTGGTCTGTGCCTAAACCAACAGCTGCCTAATGCCACCGTTGCTAACTAAATAGCCCCAGCTCTGCTCAGTTCCTTTCCGTGTTGTTTTAACTACATTTACCCACTAAATTCTGTTATTTCCTCGTGATCTGTCCTCTGGTAGCTAAACCACAGGATTTGTAGAAGAGAGGTCCACTTGCAATGGCACTTTTCTGAAGAGCCTCCGGATGGGACGTGAGTCTCCAGCTCTGCTGGTTGGGTTTGCAGTACGGGTTGGGAAAGGACCTGCAAAGGACTCGGGTGCTGCTGGGGAGCCCTCGTGGAGCACAAACCTCTTGTGTGCTCGTCCCGGGGACCCGAGATGCCACCCCTGATGCAGTGACCACAGCTGTACCAAGCACGTGAGGACGTGGTATTCGCTGCTACGCCCAGCTCCTCCCCAGGGTGGGTCAGGCAGCCCAGGTACGTTGGTGTTGCTGCCTGGCTTAGCTGGAACAGGCCTCAACGTGGGCGCTTATTTGTCTCTCATTGCTCGTTGGGCCAGAGTTAAACTTGGCAGCTGTCTCCCTGAAAATCCTGTAGCTTTTCTGGCTGTAGGAAGGATTTTCCAAAACTAGCCTAGAACCCTGTTGTGTTCCTCAGTCTGCAGGCAGTCTCCAATAGCTCCAGGGACGGTGGGAGCTCCTCTTTGTGAGCCCTGCGGTAAGTCCTGTCCGTGGGTTTGTACGGGCAGCAAAGGTGAGTGTGCTGATGTTTTGGTCCTCCTGTTCCTTTTGATGCCGGGCTCCTACAGGAGACCAAAGTGCGGTGGAGCCCATTGGTGTCAATTCTTCGGCTCGCTCTCCTCCCACAGCGTGCCGGCTGCCCGTGGGAGGCAAGGAGGGCTCCAGGTACCTAAAGCTGGGGCTGGCACTGCCAAGATCTGCTCCTGCCACCTCTCTCGCTGGGCCAGGGAGAGCCTGGGACAAGTCTTGGAGTGCCCCTGGTACACTGAGAGACACCGTGCCAGAGCCGGGGTGCCGGGGGATACCCCTGTGCTTTGCTTCGGGGAGCCCAGGCTGCTTACTCGGGCTCCTCTGACACTCTCTTTCCCACCCTTGGTAGCCATCCTGTCAGTTCAGGTGGGCCCTGGTGCTGGATGCTGTTCGTTCCCCACCCCCCTTTTTTTTTTTCCCCCTCATCCCAGTGCAACATTCCCAGCGGTTTCGGCAGGGAGCTGTGGAATGTCTCCTGCTCCTGCCGGGGCCCACCTGAACAAGCCGGGCATTGACAGGGAGCGCTCAGCTCAGCCACACACAGACAGGGAGGGCTCTGGTTTGGTCCCTGACCCCACAGGGGGAAGAAATAACAGGAGGTGAATGGGAACATCAAACAGAGCCCAGCCCGACTCTCATCTTCCCGGCACGGCGTGGAGGTGGGGCAGAGGGAAGTCGAGGCTCCGGGGCTCCTGTCTGGAGGAGCCGTGTCCTGCGCGGTGCCAGCGCACAGGCTGGTGGTGCAGGACAGAAAGGCCCTGAGTTGCTGTGAA